TTCACATCAGGCATGGGTTGCAGCTCCCCAAACCGCCTCATTTTCTTCTCCTCAATAGAAAGTCTCCCCTGGCTGCCTTGGGAGACTTGGTGGATGTATCTTGCAAACCTAGCGCTCACCCACCAGTGAGCGCTTTCCCATTGTGCGTGACTTTGTCCTTAGCAGGTCACCTTGCCCTGAAAAATGCCCCTTCCTTGCCTTCTCTGCGGGATGCCGCAGGGCCACTTCCAGATTTTGGCCAGCTACAACTACTCCTTCTCTAGCCTGTGGCTTACGCCTTACTGAGGAAATGTTTGTCAGTGTCAAAGGCTGTTGAAAGACTAACTCTTGCTTTCAAATATCAGGTCAGCACCTGCCTGGCAGTCCAGGGGGTGAGGGCTCGTGCCCACATTGCAGCGGGTGATGCCCCTCTGCTCTACTCAGTGGTAACGCCACCTTTTTTCTTGGTTTTGTTTCTCTTTCATCACCAGGAGACAAGCTGAAACAAAGGCAATTTGGGTTATGCGGCGTCAGTTGGCTGCTGATCGGTCGCAAAGGATGTGTGTGCCTTGGTTGCTGTCAGCTAATATTACAGGACCGTTTGTGGTGGTTTATTTACGCTGTTTTGCAGTGCGCAACTCAGGAAAGGAGACTGTGTACCAGGGTCACCAAGTTTGGCAAACCACAGTGATTTGATGCTAACTCTTACACCTGGTCACTGTGAGACCAAATTACGCTCTCTGCGATAGCTGTGGCTGGCAGCACCTGAGGGTTGCTGAGCAATAAAAAAGCTGGGAGATGTCATAGCAAAAAGGGGATTTTCTACAAAGCACAAATCATTACCAGTGTTATAGCATATCCAGTGAACAGACTTGAAGCAAAGTTAAAATACCGCTATACAGCTGGAGGTGTCACAGAAACCACTGTGTGCTCTAGCTTCGTATAATTAAATAGCTGTGTTATTCCAACCCAGAGGTGGTTAATCCTCAGCAGTAGATGAGCCTCTTTATTTATGTAATAGGCAAAAGCAGGCTGCAAAGGGCTTTGCTTAGATGAAGAGATCATATTGTCAACAAGAATAATACGTGATTACTAAGAGACGGAGTCCTGGCCAGGAACAACACATCTTCAAGTTTATACCCTCATGATAAGAAGGATAAAATATTGATAATCCAGTTTTTAGGAAGAGCAAGTGGAAAAACAGCCTGTGAGCAGCTGAGGCTGCATTCTGCTGCGTGTGCTCGGTGAAAGGATGTATTATCACTGTCCGCAGCGCTTCGTCGTTGAGTGGAATACGCTAAAGTGGCCAGGAAAGCGGCAGGCCCTGCGCTGAACGGGTTGAAAGGTTGTGGGAACATGTGCTGGCACAGCCACGCGTTGTGCTGAGACACACAACCGAGGGGAAGGGCAGGGACCGTTTCGGCTGGCCCAGGCAAAAGGGAACGTCCTCGTGTTTCCATATAAACCGTCTTCTCTCTTCCTCTCTTTCATTTAGCATCATTTGGCTTCCTGGAGCAGAAACAATTTCCATTCCCCATTTAGGGTAACACTTTTGTAACGTATATAATGTGGAAATTCCTCAGCTGCCAGTCCTTGGTCCTGCTCAAACACTGGGAAAAAGCTTTAGTATATTACACAATAAAGTATTAGTAAACACAGGTGACTGGAAGGTAGCAGGAACTTTGGTCAGCTGAAAAATAAACCAATATAGTATTACGACATGACAACAAATCAACCAAGCACTGAACCTGCCCGTGGCTCTCGATAAAATCACCACCACTGCAAGCGAAATGGAGAGGACTCCTGTCCTGTCTCATATCCCAAGGAAATGAGGATAAGGAGCCACTCGGTCGGCTACTTGTGATATATATTAAAACAAGCTGCATAAAAACCAGTCATTGTGCCACAGTTGATATCAAGTTAGCCGCCTTGCTGCCAGACCGGCCAAGGCATGAATACTAACGCTGCCCTCAGCTGCCGTAGAAATTGTCTCTTTGCATAAGAGCAACGAAGGACTTGCGTCCTTAGCTCCCTCTTGCTGGGACTAAGCAGGGAGTTACAGCTCCACCTGCGATCGAGTAAGCTCCGCTTAGCAGCATTAAGCTCACAGTACTATTTTTAAAACTCACCCTTCTCTGCCTCCCAGGGAAAAAAAATTGAGGAGGAGGCGGTATATACCTTGTTCGGTGAGGGGATGCCAGCACCGGCCGAGCGAGGCCCCGGGGCTGGGCAAGTGGGAGCCAAAGGAAATACCCATCGCGGGCCTGAGCGCGATGGGGAAGCGGAGCACAACTTTGCACAGGTCCGGAAGCGCGATAAGGCTTGCTCCCTCCACAGGAAGGTGAGGGCTTTGCCGCAAGGCACCAAGAGGAGTCCCTCTCACCTTACCGTGGCAGCAGCACGTTAACAGCCAAACCACAGTTTGTTGTTAGGCACCGTTGGGGCTTTTCGCCTTGTCACTGTTTTCCACCCGACGTGGTTTGAGGTGCCAAGACAAGAAAATTAGGAAATCCGTTTTCATGTGGAAAAATTTGCCTACTGCGGTCTCCTCCTTTGGAAATAGGCACTGCTTTTATATAATACCACTCACCTAACAGCCTCACATCACTTTCTTTAAGGATCGCCTACGTACAGAGTTATTGAAGAACTGCTACTTCAGAATAACTGTTTCTGAACAACTCTGTGAAAAGACAGGCTTCTCCTGAAACAAGAAAGCCTTATTCTGCTTCATCTTAATCCTCTGTCAAAACTGCCTGCTTTCCAAAAGCAGATTAGGTTAAACCAGACCAGGCACTCCTTATTCTGGAATAAGAGTGCCAGTACGCAAAAGGATCAGGAAGTGCCTTTAGGCTCATATTCTATCTTAAACTGAAAGAATTGGCAAGCGTGGACAACTGTCCCATTTCACAGAGGAAAAAAACTACGGGATTCAGACGGGAGCCCGATACCAAGGCGGAGTGTGGGCCTCCCAAGTCCTACTCTTTCTTTTAAGTAAATAACAAACGTGCAAAATTTAGTTTCTCGTGTTAATTGCATCTCTTACGCAATGTACTTTGTTCTTTCAGTTTTATTCTTGGATGGATTACTTTTTTTTTCCTTGCCTACTTCTGCAAATGTCAGTTTTCTCTTTGTTACCCCAGTCTCACTTCTTAAAATAATTGCCCGTGTACAAGCGACTGGTTTCCTACGGTGCAACACTTCTAACTTTCACTTAGCACCGTACTATCAGCTACCTACACCGAATCAAAGTCTACTCAAGCAAATCAGGGCTTGTTTGATTTATTCCTGTCACATGCTGCTTTCAAGAATCCAATCAATTCCCTAATCTGACTGCATACACTCTCCCTTCCTCCCTCAGTAAATCCAGGAAAATTAGCAGAATAAAAATGATGGTGACACTGAATAATTCAGTAATACACTCTGCCAATATTTGCCAAAACTCTTGTCAACACAGGCCTACTTTGCTAACGCTGCAACATATGGTGTAACTGCCTTTACAGTCCTATGGAGCAGGGGGACCGTCTGACTACTATTAAGTCTATTTTTTAGATACTTAACACCTCCTGCAAGAACAGGAACAGAGCAGTAAACTGAGGCTGACCTCCCTCACACAGGCACACACACGAACAGGCGTGCCGCGGCACCGTCCGGCAGGCGGCCTTGCACACGCACTACATCCAGTAGCTGGTCCTGCATCCTTGCCCTTCAGGTGCCTCACCTCTAGAGACGCACATGTTCACGCGTACGCACACACAAGCAGGTCTCCAAGTCAACCCCCAGACCCTACAGTCAGCTCTGTGTGTGTGTGTGTGTGTGTGTGTGCGCGCGCGCGCGTGTGCTCCCTCGGG